CTAGTCCTGTAAAAAGGTTATTGCCATTTATTTGCAATCCAGTTAACTGTTTTGAGTTAGGGAGAAAAGGTAGTGTTCTTTCCACTCCTGACAGGTGACTCAGACCCAGGTCAACTCTGCCGCTGCCTCTGGCATCTGTGAACTGGCTCCCCAAGATCAGTCAGGATTACCTCAGCTCTGAGGCAGCTCCCTTCTATTCTTTGGCAAGTTTGTTTCCAGTACTTAAGAAAAATGCCACACTCACCTTCCCTCTCAATATTCTCGATTCCAATAACCTTATTCTTGCTTAGTCAACCTCGTTATCCTGTGCTTGCAAAGGAAAAGACCAAATCGTTTTTTTTATTGTACATATGCAGCGCTCTTATACAACCATGTCTTCTTGGTTCTATCCAAGGTGTATTTGAAATTGACTTCCAGAATTACATATATTACAATAGGAAATTTTTTTAAATAAAAATCAAGGTCAGAGAAAAGACTAGGGGGAGTTTAGGACACAAATATAAAAATCACAAAATTATGAAAGGTGAGGTGTGAATTTGGCTCTGAGCTTCCTGGCAGCCAAAGCAAGAAGAGAAAGATGATCTATGTAATGATTCACTGAGGAAACACACCTATTCTTCAGGGAAAGCAATGGGACCCCTGGACTGAGTTCTGAAAGGTTGTTTTGCCCAAGATTAAAGGATCTAAGTGTATTGGAGAGAAAGCAGGACCCAGGTCCTGTGTTGGTCTGTACTTGACTAGCAGCTGCTTTGACCAAAGCTTTTAGCTGCAAAGTTGCAGGGACTTGTCACAACCTCTGTAGTTACTCAGAATTTACACTTGAAGTGTGGTGTCTTCATTGATTGTCTCTCTAGAGCTCTAGCTACTATTGCTCTGAATTTCCTTTCTGTTGGAGAGACACATGCTAGCAAGGGTCTCTCTCTCTCTCTCTCTCTCTCTCTCTCTCTCTCTCTCTCTCTCTCTTTCTTTCTCTCTGAACCACCCCTGCACTGCCTTGTTTCTCTTCGAGAGTCTCGAGAGTCTCGGAGCTGCCCTGCAGGGAGGGGTTTTAGGGTTTGACTTTCTGAATAGCACCTAGATGAGATAACACCTGAAAACACCCCTATCCCCACTGTTGGCCACATGCCTCTGAGTCATCCTCTTCTCTGCTCCCCCTTTCAGTTTAACCACTTCCTGCCCACTGTTTGTTGTCTAAATAGCACAGTCAGAATGACATATTTGAACACTCCCCTATGATCTAATGCGATTTTCCCTTCCAAGCTGATTCCTTTTGTCAACGTCAAAATTTTGTCTTTTGAAAATCTAAGTTATATTCCTGACAATGCTCCAGTTTTTCTCCTTGTTAGTAAAATAATCATAATTGCTCACATGTATCGAATGCTTCCTGAATGTCAGGTGCTGGGCTAGGCTCTTTTTAATACTCTATCTCACTTAATTCCCCCTCCCCCAAAGCCCCAAGAAGTAAGTACAGTTAGCTGTTTGTACCCATGGGTTTTACACCTGTGAATTTAACCAACCGATATAAGAAAATTCTAAAAACAAAATCCCATGAGTTTCTAAAAAAACAAAACCTGAATTTGCCACATGCTAAGCATTACACTGAGTCCACATGAATGAAGTGATGTGTAGGCATAGCCTGTTGTAGTCTATATGCAAATATAGGTTATATGCAAGTACTACTCATTTTATATAAGGGACTTGAGCACTCTTGGATTTTGGTATCAGAGTGGGGGTGTGTCCTGGAACCAATCCCCCTTAGATACTGAGGGACGGCTGTGCTAGCTTTGTTTTACAGGCTGGGAAAATAGAGCCCCGGTCACCCAGGGTGTAAAGGGTGGAGTTGGCATTGGTCCTTGGATCCACCTGACCAGAGTCTGTGTGCTTGACCATCGCCACCTAGGACCCTTCCCTGGTACCTAAAAAAGCATGGCAACCATGCCCCCTCCACCCCCAGTTCAGGGTTTCTCATTCTACTTGCTCATCCTTGTTGGTCAGAATTAGCTCCAGGGCTTTGTGATAACAGCAGCATCTTCTACCTTCTGGGTGATGGGAAAATCAGCAAGGCAAGAGTTTGTCAGGCATTCTGTTTTTAACTGAATGGCCTTTCTAGCAGATGGATGTTGGGTCTCCCATCCCCACTGGCCACCGCAGGGCTGGGGGCTGCCCCCAGCTGTTACCCAGCCTGGCCATCTGGGTGGCCAACAGGGTGGGTGGGGCTGATGTGTTTCTCCCTTTCCTCTGTCTCCTATGCCCTCCCAGGTGTCTTCTCACCCAGGCCCATGGATTCCTTGAAGATAGATATATTCCTGTCCCGGTACTCCCTACCTTGACTGTCATTGCTCACCTCTGCCCCCAGGCATGGCCAAGAACATCCTGTAAAAGCCACGTCCTCCCTCTTACCCCAGAGCCTCAGTGAACCTCTTCAGCCCCCAGACACCCAGCTGTCTTGGCCATGGGGCCATACCCTTTGCTTCTGCGCTGGCTCTTGCCTCAGTTGTCCCGCTGTCTTCACCGGAGATGCTGCCTACGTGCACATCGAGAGTCCCAGAGGCTCCAGCTTGGCAGAGCTTGCCCTTCTGTCTGCTGAAAGAGGGTCACTATCTCCCAATGTGTGGCTTCCTTTTCCTTGGGTCAATAGCTCACACCTAGTCAGCAGCCCCCTCCACCTTGTCAGTTCTCCACGAAGATGCGCCAAGAATTCCACATGGGATCAGGTGGGCAGAGAGCTTCCACCCAATCAGCGCCGAGCCCTGGACAACGCTTCCTGTGGAGGCCCTGCCTGTGGGACCCTCGGCCACTGGAAGCCGAATGGCCCTGATTGATGGGAAGGCCCAGAGCACAGTGGGAGCAAGGAGCTGTTGCAGAGTCTCTAGGCAGAGAGCCTTGGCATGCCCCTCCTTGCGTAGGCATGTCCTTCCTCACGGTGACATCTAAGTGGTAAACCAAAGTGGTACTTGATAGTGGGGACTCTAAGGCCTAGGTGGAAGTTGTATAGTAAATACTGGTTGAATAAGTAAAGTGATGTCATGGGGTCCACAACCAAAAGGATGTGGTATAGAAGGAATGCCTTCTTCACCTCCTGGATAGGAGGTCTTCCTCCAGGAGCATGCTGGGTGATTGCAACGAGACCCCCAGGAGGTTCAGGAGTCGGGGCTATTCCCCACAGTAGGCAGAGATGGCGGGGAGTGCAATGACTTAGCTATGGCAATCCACAGTTGTCTTGTGCATTCCCAATTTCTGCCCCAGTAACTGGACCCTAAGACCCCTCCACAGCAAATGGGTAGCTGCATTGAAAGGCTTAAAAGAGAAAGGTTGCTCTACGTGGACAAATTGGTTGCAGTTGGACACAGCTCTTGCAAAAATGGAGGCAAGGGAGTGGGGCTCTGGAGTCAGAGCTCACTAGCTCTGTGGACACTGAGCAAAGTGCCTCACCTGTCTCTTCCTGCTGCCTCATTGGTGAGATGGGGATCATGCAGACACCCATCCCCCAGGGCTGATGTGAGAGGTGATGGAGGCAGCTTTGCAGCAGAGTACTCAGTGCTCACGGAGGACATGTGAGTTGGCCATTATTGTGACAAGGACCCGACAGCATAACGGAGGGCACTTTTCATCAGGCTATTGTGGACAAAGTCAGGAAACCTTGGAAACAAGTTTTGTCATCTTGTGGGGGAGACTATCTTTATGTGAGCACTGTCTTCGTCATTATCTGCGGTGCAAAGCTTCCTCTCCCCTCAGCCACAGTAAGCAGGGACCCTGACGCCGCGGTAGAATGTCGCTTTCTTTATTGTTGCTGACAGTTCGCTCTCTGGTAGGTTCAGGTTGGAGCCTGTCCACCGAGATCGGTCCTAGCATCACAAATCCTAGACAGGCCTAGCACGCTGCCCCTGCTTTTTGAAGAAAGCAGACGAGCTAGGCCGCTTCTCCTAAGTAGAAGTACCAGAAAGCCCCTTTGCTTTAAGACGTGCAGGCTGCATGCCATCATAGTTAACACTGAGGGTGCCATGAAAACCTTTCATAAAACTGTAGACAGTTTTTAGAATAAGAAGTCACTGGTCAGGGAGAAAGACACCCTGTGTTGTCTTCTTCACTCTGAATAAATGCTCTCTGGTGGGGGAGATAGTCAGGTCAGGATGGTGCGTTAGGCTCAGGAAACTTGCCAGGCCCAGGACTGGAGCCCCCAAGGCAGCTAGTCACACGAGAAAGGCAGCTCCAGGCGGCAGGATTTTGTGTGTTTTGTTCATTGGTGTGTTCACAGCTCTATGACAGACCCTGACCCAGAGCAGATGCTCAATCCCTGTTTGTTAAATGAATGAGTAAATGTAAATTAACCAAAGGGGTTAATATTTATGTAGAAGCATTGGCCTCCTCAACCAGGTGCCTTTCCTCCTCTCAGTGGCTTGTGCAACATACGAGGTCTCTCAGTGCGGTGTCCTCCCTGCACATGTCCCATCGCCTGCCATGTGCTCCCAGCCTCCAGGCCATACCCAAGCGCCATGGAGTGACTCCCTTCCCGGCACCTGCTTGCCTGCACCGGATGTCCTCTTTCCCTGAAAGGGCTCCTTTCTTAGCAAACACCACCCTTTTTTTTCAGGGCCCAGCTTGAATGCCACCATCTCTGTGATTTCTCAGAGGATGACCCTGTATAACTTTATTCCAGAACTAACTACAGTGGTGTTATCTTTCCCACCAGACCATGGCTGCTGCAAAGACGGGAAGTCTTTTGTCGTGCAGCCCCGCCCCACACACACACACACCAGAGATGTCGCAGCGAGGAGAGAGCCAAGAGCGAGGGCATGAGCAGTGTTACAAATTCTGATCAACAAAGGGGCTCAACCAGAGTCACACGATCAAAACTCCTATCACAGGATCCAAGGACTGAAAATTTTTGCCAGTAAAAATGTCCACAAAATGAAAAGCAAAAAGGAATCCGGTTAACTCAGTTCTGTCAGTAAAAACCATGAGAGGTTCAACTGGGGTACAAAGCATCAGGAAGGCCAAGGTTTCTTTCATAATGAAATAATTTATTATTTGTTAAACGGTTGAACAATACAGAAGTTTACATGTACACAGCAAAGATTCTCTAAAACATGTGGTTGTTCTAAAAATGCATGTGCTAAATGTAGTAAAAAGCACCATTCTCTATGTCTTGACACAGGATTTACATTGGCGTCGTATTTACATAAAGAAACATCTGGAAACAGAATTGTATACTCTCTCATCTGCTGCTCCCTGCTTAGGCTGTGTTTACCACTAGGAAGATGGCCGCCAACATCGATGGTTAACGCGACAGTCCCAGAGCACCAATTGTAGGGACTGGGGGTAAAGGCAAGTCTGGTTCTCAGGGAAAAGCTAAAATAAAGAATGCCCCCTCAGCCCTCCTGCCCAGACCCCCCCTCCAAAAGAAATTAAGAAATTAAAATTTAAAAATCTGGTTAAGTCTTAGAATTGAGTGCCTTACTAATTCTCACTGTATGATTTTTTTGAGAGAAGATGAAGACACTCAATTTCTTCAGCCATTCAATAGCTGACTCTAGCAGTGCTAGACAATTCTTTCTTCTTTCAGAAGAATATAGTGTAAGAAAATCACCCATGTAATATTAATGAAAGTCATGATAAATCACATATTGCACTCCCCCCTCCCCCCTTCCCCAGGCATCTTCAAAACAAAGAGCGCATGTAGAATGGGAAAGACCACCTCATCTAAAGGGCCTTTGGGTCTTCTCCCAGGAAGGATTTTTAAAATCAGTAATAGCCAGCTACCTAAACATAATGCATTCATCCTTAGACATAGAAAAATAGATTGCCATGCAGGATACGGCTTGGCAGCCTTTGACTTCCTGGTGCTCAACGCGCAGAGCAGGTAAAGGGGGAAGACAAACTTGAGGAAACAAGACTGAGATTCAGGGCAATAGATTGTGAAGCACAATAAAAGTGGTATTCTTGCCAATACAGCATGGTATAAAAAGCCTAAATAATAATGTGTATGGATAGACTTTGCAAAAATAAGTTTTCTCTTTAAAGGATGGGGGTGAGGCAACAAAAAAAGCCCATAACATCCCTTAGCAAGCCCCAAGATATTGCTAGACAGTTATTTTGAGCATCACAATCCTACCTAGTTTATACTTTTTTTTTTTCACACCCTAGGATTTGCTCTTGGCCACTTTGGGGATGGAGGAGAGAGGCCCATTGGGACCCAGGTAAGGTCCCTCTGTTTCTTTCGAAACAAGTAGAGAGAGGTTAAAGGAAAATGCCCGCCTTAAAAAAACCCAAACCACTCCCGTGGCCGATGGCAGGGTCAAGGCCCACATTGTGCTCAGTGTTGAGTGGGCACTGCCCTTGTTTCAGTCTTGGGCTGACAGAAGAATCTAGGTCCTGCTCAAAAACGTGATGCTCTCTGAATCACTAACTAGCGTTAGATGTCTATGACTAGAGAAAGGTGTCAGCAGTCGCTATCAGCACCTTGATGAATTCAAGATCTCTGCTTAGCAAAAGAAAACCCAAAGCAAAACACCCTGGGTGCTCAGCCTGCCATCCTAAGCCAACAGGCATGGACAGCTATGTTCTCTGGGATGTTACCAGAAGCACACATATATATTTTCTCACTGCATACAATTAAATTGGACTACGTACTCTTATTTTCCCATTTGCATTGCAATGGTGTCAACAAGAGTGTGGCTTAGATTTCTTTTTAGCTCTTTAAAATCCATTTTCACATAAAAATATGCATGTGCCTATATTTATACACATCTCTATTTACGTACAATTGTCAAAGTCTTAAAGGCTGGGGTTTATCTTTGCCCATCCCCTCCCCACAACAACCCTAATAGAAAGGTTTTCCATTTTGCTTAAAAAAAACCCCCCAAACCCCTAAACAACCAAAAAGACAGTACAGCTCGTAAGTCACGCTGGTAGATCAGTGAACGAGGGCAGATTGGCGAATCAGGGCTGCTGATCAGCCGCATGGGGAGGTGAGATTAGCCGCCTTGGGCTGAGTTTGCTGGTCCTGAGGGTTACAGTTTTGGTCAGAGAGAGGCCCGTCTAGCATGCTGATTCCGTTTACCTCGAGCTTTGAAGGTAATGTCTAACCCTGGTGTCAGTTTATTTATCACAAGTGCATTAAAAATATAGCGATCTATCAAGTTCCACATTTCTATGCAGTCAAATTGAAAAGGACCAGACAAACAGTGCAAAGGTCAAATAATTACTGTTTTATATTGGGACAGTACATTTCATATTTCAACCAAAAGACAAAAATGCAATTTAACTCAAAGGCACAACAATTAAAACACAGAGAATGGCACCTCTCAGATGCCTTATTTCTAAATTAAACAAACAAATACACAGATTTTGTTCCCTCCCCTCCCCCAAATGCAAGCCCACAAGCTTTTCCCAAAGTCTTGAGTTTTCGATGCCATCCAGCATCTAGCATCATGGACTTGTGAGGCGCTTGAACGTAGCAATTAAACAAAATGCTTGAGAGGTCTAGCGAATGGCATTCGAAAGGGACCTCAAAGTGCAGACTTATCTTTTTCAAACATGTTACAGGCTGAGCTGGCTCTTTGAACACTATCACTCTGCTTAAATTCAGGAAGCAGGCTTTAAAAATGCAAAAGGCATACAAGTTGTATTTCAGTGCAAATCTTCAGCTGGTAATTGGAAAAGATTCCAACAGTAAAAAAATCCTTTGTGTCACCTGCCCCTTTCCCCCACCCAAAGCTGAAATGAAGGGGAAAAAAAAACCAGAACAAAACAAAAACAAGAGTTATACCATATGACTTTGGGATCATTTAGCAATCCACTACTTCCAATTTAATTTTGATTTTAATGCGTTAAAGAATCATGAAAAAGAGAAACACACAGAAGTAATCTTGCTTTGTTTACACTGCTCCTCATATCTAGAATGAGCTTCCGTGTAGAGTGCATTTGAACGTTTGGTTGTGTGGAAGGTGGCGGGGGCGGGGGGTGAGGGTTGGAGGCGTTGCGAGGCCATTGGGTGCTAGAGACCACAGGCCAGTGGGGAGCACGGGGTGGCCGTCCGCGACTGGTTCAGCCGTTGAGCCCTTAGGTTGCAGTGCGTCTGTGGGTTTTAGGAATGTTCTCATCACTTTGTGACATACACTCTGTTTCAGCGTCACAGATTTTACAAATGGTTCAAATTCAATGAAAAAGATTTGCCAGAGGCTGAAAACACCAAGACCTCAAAAATATTAAGGGGAATGAACCAATTTGGTAGATACCTACATACAAAGTTTCTAGAACATCTATAAAAGCACAAAGTCATAAGAATTTGTTTTCCATTACATTAATTTATATAAAATGAATAAATAGTATTTATAGATTTAATGTGTCTTATGTACATATACATGTGCTCTGTTTTAGCTTAAATAAAAATGCTACAAAGTGGGAGACCACTTAAGGGAGAAATCATAACCCAAAAGGAAAATCAGCCTTTCACACTATCAACCCAAAAGCCTCCATAAAGAAGTTTCCGGGTGTGTCCAAAAATAATAAGGAGAGGGATTCCAGTAACACGGTACCATCCCCTCCTGTTCACCTGCAACACAGTAGAAATGTGGACTTTTTCTTTCACTGATGGTGGCCACTAGCTCAGCTAGCGCCAAAGCTCAGTTATTGCTGAAAGTTAAATAGGAAAATAGATTAGAATTGGACCAAATGTCACTTATTCAGGGGGGAAAAAAAGAGGCAGAATCACTTTGTGTTAAGTGGGGAATGGAGATCTCATTTATCTCTGAGGTAGGAAAAAAAAATGTTCCAGAGACAAGTAGCAGAACAAACTTTGAGGGGCAATGGCCTTGGGGACAGCCATACACAAAGCGGTCCCAAGCATGTCGCACAGAAAATAGATTGTACCGTTTTGTTTGCGAGAACAAACAATACTGGAACGTTTATCAGCTGTGCCACCCCAAAGACCTGCTCACCAGGTGTCCATTTTAGAGTGAGAACTGCTCCCATCCACACGCAGGGTGGGGAAGGAGCCTGGGGGTGGGGGGATGTTTTCTGGAGGTATTCCTGACGCCTCACGGGGGTGAGGTCCACGGTTAAGTGCTCTTAAATGCCGCTTTCAAGGCTTACTTTGGAGTTCTGAGATCAGGATCTCAGCTTTAGAAGTTTGTTTCCTTCAGTTTCCTAAGCACAAGACACATTTGTACATTTCTGCTAGGCAAGAAACATGGTAAGCCAGAAAACTTTAAGCAAGGTCTGGTAGGCTATGTGGGGACGGTGAATAAAGGGGGGAGGGCGGGCAGGAAATGGCTGAGATGTGAAAGTTGCTTCTTCGGTCTAAGAACCCTTGGGTGTTTCAAATTGATTGGAATGTACAGTCTCCCAGAGACGAATTTTTATGGAGAGAGAGAGAAGCTAGTGGATGCAATCAGAAACCCACAATCCTAAGCACTTCCTTGAAAACGTTTACAAAGCTGATTTTGGTAGAGGTGGTACACTGAAGTTGACGTGCAAGGGGATTGTGGGCAGGTCCAATACACTACCTAATCAGATCCGACAGGGAGAACCATCCGGGGGGGCAGCCGAAGCGACCACTCTCTCTTATAGAGCAAGACACGTCTTGTGATGGTCCTGGAGCTTTATTCTCTTGATGCTGGCGCTGGCGTAGCCCTCGTCACTGCCGAGGCTCTGCGTGCTACCCCGCTCGTCAGAATCACTCACACTGCTGCTGCTCCAGTCCAACTCACCCGTGAGATAGTCTGTGCTTTCAACGTCCACATCGATTTCTTCTGTGGGAGGACAAGAGAGACAGTGGGAAAGGCACTCTTTAGGAAACTCAGGCTGAAAATTAAAGCGCCTCCAGTCAAGGCCCTTCTTTGGAGGCGGCTGCCTCACTGCTAACAGAAAAGAGGGGCTAGTTCCTGGAGGCTACACAACTCATCTTCTCTACGTTACTAGCAGGTTCTGAGCTCCCTCTCTGCTCTGCCGCTTGCAGGCGGGAGAGGAAAAGGGAGAGGGGGCGAGGGGTGGAGGGCGCAGGGAGGGGGACTCACCCCTGTCGGAGTCTGAGCGCTCCGAGGACACTGTGGAGCCGATGCTGTCCATCCGTATCCTCTCGATGCCCAGTTTCTCCAGCTGCCTCTTCAGGTGTCGCTGCTCTCGCTGAAGCTGGTCGATTTGGTGAATGGCTTTTCTGTCACAATCTTCAAGTTTCTGCAAGTCAAAGGGGCAGTTAGTTGTTGGAGTTCGCAGGCAGGATTCAAAATTGCCAATGACCCTGCATCTTCCTCTCCAGCGGTGAAATGGGCCAATTTTCCCCAGAAGCCATTTGGAGTGTCACTTGTCTAGCTTCTCGAGGAGACAGGAAGCTGACTGGCTAGTGAGTCAAGTCTTCGTCTAACATTTTCAGCATCGACAAGGCTGTAGATACCTGTACTATTGCAGGAATTCTAGGGGTGAGCTCTGACACTCTAGCATCCTAGTACCCCTCAGTTCTGATACTGAAAACACTGCAGGCAGGAACCCCCAACCTGCAGTGGGGGCCTGAACACCTGACCTCTGAAGCAGAGCGCTGCATGGGATGGGTGCTTATGGAACAGACTTCCATTAGCTGTGTGCTTATTCAAGTGCATGTCCCAATTACGCAAGCACTTTTTTGTGTCATGCCAAATCCCAATTAACTTGTGTTTGTTAGCAGGAAATAACAATCCCTTTCAATGCCTGGATTCCAAATTGTTCAACATAAGAGCTTAGAAGACACATTTTTATAGATCACTTGATTTTACAAATCTGTCCTCTAGCTTCTCATAGTCTTCATGGCCCGAGGTGACGCGGTACACAGGTGAGGGCCAGGTCAGGCAGCACATGGGGCAGGCCTGGTGACAGAGTATGTCTTGAGCCACAGAAGAGTTCTAAGTAGGATGCCGTGTTGATCTGAGCTCTAGAAGGAGTGTTCTTGGGAAGCACGGAGATCAGCTCAGAGAGGGGTCTTGAGGAGTTTGTTATAGTAGATGATGGGGTGACAATGAAAGGCGACAAGGCTGTGAAATAGTTTGAAATATTTAGGTCTCAGAGACAACTTAGATATAGATGGCTGAGGAACAAGAGCTAACAAGGATGAGCCTGAGTTTCTGGCTTGCATGACCAGATGGGCAGTTGGATGGACCACTTAACTTCCAGAGCCCAGGGGTGAGAAATAACCAGTTGGGTCTGGACATGTTGACTTTGGGATGCCTGTGATTCATCCAAGAGGCGGGATGGGAGAGCTCAACGGGGAGGATTGTGCTGGAGATATACATTTGCTACCCTCAAAGCAACAAACAAACCTTTACTGGACAAGGAAAGGTAAAAAGGCATCTCAAGGGTACACTTACCTTTATGTGCAATTTGGCTTTTGTTAATAAACTCAGCGTAGTGTGTCTATTTGATTCGGGACCAAGTGGCACTAGCCCCTTCAACTTCTCCAGGCACAAGCGAAGATGGGCCCGTCTACAAAAACAGAATCACAGTAGCTTTTGAGAATTTTAAGGTGGGCCAGAGGGCACCCCTAAAGAACAAGTTCTAAAAGAGTTTGAAATTCTCCAGGTCCAGTGATGACAAATGCCACCAATGACCTCTTGCCAAATAAACACCTTTTGAAACCAGACAACTCTGGTGAAAACCAAGGAGAAGCAAAATCCAGGATTTTCTACAGTTAAGCCTATTTATAAAACAGGTGTTGGGGTACGTACTAATATCTGCAATTATTAGGCACATTTCTCAGGTTATCTCCAGGTTTCTGGGGAATGATATGACCCATAGAGAACATCCAAATTCAGAAAATAACCATATGCCAGGGTGAGAATCCTTTTAACACCATACCTCTCTTTCCCCACTCAGGACCACTAAATCACTGTAACTGTATCATTGCTATAGATAGCATTTACACATATGAATAATGTATGTGTATGGTTATTCATTACAGCTTTATTTGAAATAACAAAAATTGAAATAACCCAAATGAGCATCAGTAGGGAACTGGTTGAATAAATTGTGGTGCCTCCAGACAGTGGAGTACTATGCAGCTATGAAAAGAAAATGAGAGTGTGCTATTAGAGAAGAACTCTCAGATCTATTCAGTAGAGAAAAGCAAGATATCAAACTGTGCATACAACATGCTCTCTTTGGGTAAAAAATGAAGGAAAAATGATCTATATTCATGTTTTCTTGTAAGGACATGACATGTAGAATGAATGATACATAAGAAACTAGTCAGAGTAGCTGGGCAGAGAGAAGTCAGGGAATCGTCCGACTGGGACAAGGAAAAAGGGATAATTTTTACTAAATATTTCGTTATAATTTCTGGTTTTTCAACCATGTAAACTATTGTTATTCAAAAAGTTAAATATATTTTTAAAACATAATGAAAAAGTACATCGTTGGTATTGCTACACTAATAAGCACGCTGAACAGCTGGAGATAACGCCACGCATGTTTTAGAGGGCAGCAGAATGGCACAGTGGGAGGGCTACTGGGAGAGGGGAAAGGCTAGATGAGGCAGAAGCCACAGTGACCCACTGGAGAGAGAGCCGTTAGTCACAGACTGACCAGAAGCACAAGAGTTCCTAAAATGTTGGAAATTGATTAACACTTCACTGAAACCTTGGTTTGAGTTTTATTCTAGAGCCTGTCAGAGTCTATGAATGTGAGAAACAGCCAAGATTCAACATGTTTTCTTCAGCCTACCACCTCCTTAAAGCCTTCACAAGCCATTCCAGCCCATGCTGATTCCTCCATGTTCTGAGGACTTGTCTGCTTATACTATTCATTGGGAAGTTCACTGTTCTGCCTGAATCGTTTGGCAGTGCTACTTAACCACTCACTGCAAACTCCTTAGGAAGATGGGACTACCGCTTAATCATTGCCAGGCTGCCACAGTGCCTTCCCCTCCCACGGGCTTCAGGTGTGCTAAATGGGTGATGTCATCTAGTCAACTGGGCTTTAAGCTTCTCGAGGACAGAGTCCATCTCTACTACATCTTTGCACCTTCATCAGTGCGCAGGGCCCTGGGGTTTTAGACATATGGCCGCTACCCACACGCAACGACCTGCAGCAGAGCTCCTGGAAGCCTAGGAGGCTACCCTCAGCTGAACTGGGAGAAAACCTGACAGCTTAGTTTGCCCTTTTCCTCCCTCTTAAAAATTTTACTGTATTAACAAAAGTTGGGAATGCAGACTAAATGAAGAAAACCGCTTCAGAATGCTTGAAGACAGGTCAACGAGTATGGTACTGATCAAGGAAGTCAATTCACACCCTTCATATCAAGACTTCGAGGGCCGGCTGAGTGGCGCGATGGTTAAGAACTGGCTTGGGATGCCAGAGGGTCCCGGTTCGGATCCCACATATGAGGGCCAGTGACACTGCCCTCTGCAGCTAAGATGCTGAACAACAGCTCAACCTGGAGCTGGGCTGCCATGAGTAGCAGGCAATGGCGTAGGCTGCAGCAGTGGGTTGCCATGGGCTACCGTGTGTAGCCAGCAGCCAGCGTGAGCGGCCAGCAGCCGCAGTGAATGGCCGTCCAGAAGCCAGTGACTGATCTGCCTTGTCCAGGAAGAGCGCAATGATGGTGCCAACATTTGCCAGTGAAGCAACTTCCTCCACAACTAGACTGAAGAACAAAAGGTGTTGTCTGTTCCCCTTCCCCTAATTCCCCAATAAAAATAAAATCTTAAAAAAAAAAAAGTGTGTAAAAAAAAAAAAAAGACTTCGGGACATTCCTGCAAGGTGCATCTAACATTAGACATCCGTCTGAGCCCCTGCCTCATCTGGATTTTGAAGGAGCTGTCCTAGGCCCTCCAAGGGCCCTTTAAGTCTTGAGAAGCTTGAGGAGAACAGCATTCATTCCTGACCTAGGAAGATTTAATGGTACAAATGCCTTACTATTTTATAAGACACCCACTCACTCTGAAAACCTGCCCATGTGTTACAGTCACAAGCAAAGACGCACACTAAAGATTTGTTCCTTCCACTACTGCATGGTGGGGGGTGGGGAGAAAAGTGGAACTTGTGTGTAATATGTACTTGTTCACCTTGGATGACGATAATCTTGAAAAAGAGCGATGAACACAGATCATGTTACTACGAACACCATTAGGAAATATAATCCGTCACTTGTACAGTTATCCAACTTATTTTTTTACCACAAAGTTTAGACTAATCGTCAAGTTAGAAAACAAGCTCAAAAATTAAAATGAGATTTAGACATTTTTCAGCCTACTCGTTATTTGCAAAGATGGCATGATTCAGAACAGTGTCATATGAGTCTTTTTATTATGTGGGTTTATCTACAGATATGAGTATGTAAATTTTTTAGGAAGTTTGTCTACTGATAAAAATAATAAAGTCATCTTTCTCTGCATCGTCATTTCTAGCTACACAGGGAGTCTGGCCCAGAAAGTATGATTTTCACTACCCAAATGTGGATTTCCAAAGAACACTCCCAGTTGTGAAACTAGAAATAAGCAATTTGAGTAATTTGAGCTGAGGAGAATACATGTTCATTCAGGATTTTCTGGCCTCGTTCTATGAAAATGGGACTGAAGCGCGTTCTGGATTTTTGTAAAGATCCAGAGCCTGCTTCTGTCTTTGGCAGCGCCTGCCTTGGCCTCCTCCCGCGCCTCCATGCTCCAGCCTGATGGCTGCCCTGCCCACTTGCCACCTGCCTGCAGACACATCCCAGGTCGGTGCCTGGGCCAGCCACAGGGGAGAGACTAGGTGTATGAAGCAGGCTCAGATCCATCACATAATAGTGAAATTTAGTCCCTGGACTAGAAATTGTAAAAAAGCAAATAGACTTCTCTGTAGCAGGTCCCACTGAGGATCCTCAATCCACACACACACACACACACACACACACACACACACACACACACACACACACACACACACTCACTCGCTCGCTCGCTCCACCCCTGGCATTTGGACTCCTCCAGCCAGCCCTGAGCACCCATGGAGCTCCCAGATCCAAAGCAAGCACTTGTTTCAGCTCTCCCTCCTCACTAGGTCCTGACTAGTCCCCTGCCAAGGGCTCTGGTCTTCTAGGACGGGCTGAGTGTCCCATTTTGAACCAGGTCTAACGAGTTCCCCCTTTGGGGAACTAGCAGGGGTTTTGCCACATATCTTCAACAGGAAGCCACTCAGTACCTTGACCTGACCGCTCCTTGGGTCTCCTCCCTTCCTATCTTCTTCAGACAGTCCTCCTGTTGCCACGCGCAGCCTCCTTGGTCCCCACCCCCAGCAGGAAAGGGCTGTGCCAAATCCTGGCTCCTTCCTGCCCACAACTGCTTCTTCTTTTTGCCCTGATCCAACTGCTTTGTGTCTAGCTCATGAACTTTGACAGACTTCATCTGCTGACTCTTCAGAAATATCACCTTAATTATTCTGAATGGGCAGATATACCTTTGGTCTACAGTAGCATAAAGAAACCAATCTTTGATCTGAGCTATAATAATCACTAATGCTCAGAATCAAGTGTGGCTATAACTGAATTAGATACAAACTATAGCTTCTCTTCAGTAAGTTTCTTTTTTAAGTATCTCAAATTTTTTTGTTTTTAATACTTTTTAATTCTGAATCTGTCAATCACTATATAACCAAATATTAGTGTAGTAATTAGTGATGAAGAGCAAAGGTTTAGGTTCCTGGCTTTGCCACTTACTCCCTGTGTGACCTTGAGGAAATTCCCTTACTCCATGTTGTATCCATGTCCTCAGCAGAAGGAGGATGACAATACCTACCTGAGAGGGCATTAACTAAGACCATGTAGGAAGCACCTGGGGTGGGGCCTGATATGAAGTGCGCCATATATGGTAGCAGCTATTATATCAACCCTAGCTTCCTCTATAGGAGGATAATTACTGGGAGCAAACACAGATAACTATAGCACTGTTTAATATTCCTTTTAAATTGGTAGGGAACTCCAAGTGCCTCTCTAGGTAAATAGAGGTTATCTGGTAAAGTCCAATTCAGTAAACTCTTCCTTAAAAAACAAACAAACAAAAACAAACAAACAACAGACATCTTTTGTCATTACAAAATTTCATGGAAAATCTAATCCATTTTCTATGGAGATTCAGATCTTGCTTATGCTAAAGGTACTATTTCTTACATTAAAAAAATTAGCAATGATTTTATAAAGCTACTGCATGAAAAGGAGAGACTCCATGCCATCCATATATAGAGGAGGGAAGGAGAGACTGCAGGGTTGGGAGGGAAGTGTCTGAAATACACTAAGCCTTCCTCCTACACCTCTGCTGCGATGGCCAAAGGAAAATAAAACGAGGGGCAGAAAGGACTGATCTTGGAAATCCAAGCTCATGTCTAGATGTGTATCCATATCCAGAGACCCTAAAATATCTAACGTCTAATAGTAAGAAGAAAGGATAGCACACTTAAGAACAAGCTTAAAACACTTTGGGAAGGATCTCTGGGAAGAAAATTATAAAACTTTG